ATTTGCATTTCCCTGATGACTAAGGATGTTGAACATTTCTTTAAGTGCTTTTCTACCATTTGATATTCCTATGCTGGTAATTCTCTGTTTAGATCTGTACCCCATTTTTAATTGGATTATTTGGCTTTTTTTTTTTTTTTTTTTTTTTGATTTTTCGAGACAGGGTTTCTCTGTGTAGCTTTGCGCCTTTCCTGGAACTCACTTGGTAGCCCAGGCTGGCCTCGAACTCACAAAGATCCGCCTGGCTCTGCCTCCCGAGTGCTGGGATTAAAGGCGTGCGCCACCACCGCCCGGCTGGATTATTTGGCTTTTTGATGTCTAGTATCTTGAGTTCTTTATATATTTTGGAGATCAGCCCTCTGTCAGATGTGGGGTTGGTGAAGGTCTTTCCCATTCTGTAGGCTGCTGTTTTGTCCTATTGATGGTGTCCTTTGCCTTACAGATGATTTTCAGTTTCATGAGGTCCCATTTATTATTATCAGTCTTAGTTTTTGCATGATTGGTGTTCTGTTCAGGAAGTTGTCTCCTGTGCCAGTGTGTTCAAGGCTAGCCCCCATTTTCTCTTCTGTCAGGTTCAGTGTATCTGGATTTATGTTGAGGTCTTTGATCCACTTGGACTTGAGTTTTGTGCAGGGTGATAAACATGAATCTGCTTGCATTCTTCTACATGCCAACATCCAGTCAGACTAGCACCATTTGTTGAAGATGCTTCTCCCCACTATTGTATAATCTTGGCTTCTTTGTCAAAAATCAAGTGCCCATAGGTGTGTGGATTTACTTCTGGGTCTTCAATTCCATTGATCCATGTGTCTGTTTTTACATCAATACCATGCCCTTTTTATTACTATATCTCTATAGTAGAGCATGAAAGCAGAGATAGTGATACCTTTGGAAATTCTTTTATTGTACAGGATTGTTTTATCTATTATGGTTTTTTTTTGTTTTTTCCATATGTTGTTGAGTATTGTTCTTACATAGTCTGCAAAGAAATGTATTGGGATTTTAATGGGGATTGCATTGAATCTGTAGATTGGTTTTGGTAAGATTACCATTTTTACTATATTAATCCTACCTATCCATGAGCACGGGAGATCTTTCCATCTTCTGATATCTTCTTCATATTCTTTCTTCAAAGACTTGAAGTTCTTGTCATACAGGTTTTTTACTTGCTTGGCTAGAGTTACTCCAAGATATTTTATATTATTTTGTGGCTATTGTGAAGGGTGTTGTTTCCCTGATTTCTTTCTCAGCTCATTTATAATTTGTATATAGGAGAGATACTGATTTGTTTAGTTAATCTTGTATTCTGCCACATAACTGAAGGAGTTTATCAGCTGTAGGAGTTCCCTGGCAGAAATTTTGGGGTCATTTATGTATACTATCGTATCATCTGCAAATAGTGAAAGCTTGACTTCTTCCTTTCCAAATTGTATCCCCTTGATCTCCTTTTGTTTTCTTAATGTTCTGGCTAGAATTTCAAGTACTATATTGAACAGATATGGAGAAAGTGGACAGCCTTGTCTTGTTCCTGATTTTAGCGGAAAACTGAATTGTTTTCAGTTTCTCTCTAATTTGATATTGGCTATTGGCTTGCTGTACATTGCTTTTATTATGTTTAGGTATGTTCCTTGTATTCCTGGTCTCTCTAATTCTTTTATTATGAAGCAGTGTTTGATTTGTCAAAGGCTTTTTCAGCATCTGATGAGATAATCGTGTGTTTTTTTTCTTTCAGTTTGTTTATATGGTGAATTACATTGACAGATTTTCATGTGTTGAACCATCTCTGCATCTCTGGGATGAAGTCTACTTGATCACAGTGGGTGATCTCTTTGATGTGATCTTGGATTTGGTTTTTGAGTATTTTATTGAGTATTTCTGCATCAATGTTCATGAAGGAAATTGGTCTATAATTCTCTTTCTTTGTTGAGTCTTTGTGTGGTGTGGGTATCAGTGACTGTGGCCTCATAAAAAGAATTTGGCAATGTTCCTTTTGTTTCTATTTTGTGGAATAATTTGAGAAGTGCTGGTATTAGCTCTTCTTTGAAAGTCTGATAGAATTCTGCGTTGAAACCATCTGGCTCTGTTTTTTTTGTTTTGTTTTGTTTTGTTTTGTTTTGTTTTTGTTTGGGAGATTTTATTGATTGCTTCCATTTCCTTAGGGGTTATAGGTCAGTTTAAATGATCTGATCTTGTTTTAACTTTGGTAAGTGGTATCTATCAAGAAAACTCTCTATTTCTTTTAGATTTTTCCAATTTTGTGAAGTATAGGTTTTTGAAGCATGATCTAATGATTCTTTGGATTTCCTTGGTGTCTGTTATTATGTCCCCCCTTTCATCTCTGATTTTGTTAATTTGGATATTCTCTCTCTGTCTTTTAGTTACTTTGAGTAAAGATTTGTCTATCTTGTTGATTTTCTCAAAGAATCAACTCTTTGTTTCATTGATTCTTTGTATTGTTCTCTTTGTTTCTACTTTAGTGATTTCCACCTCCAGTTTATTTCTTGCTGTGGAATCTTCTTGGATGAGTTTGTTTCTTTTTGTTCTAGAGCTTTCAGGTGTGCTGTTAATCCCTAGTGCAAGATTTCTATAAGTTCTTTATGTGAGCATTTAGTGGTATGAATTTTCCTCTTAGTACTGCTTTCATTGTGTCCCATAAGTTTGGGTGTGTTGTGTATTCATTTTCATTGACTTCTGGAAAGTCTTTAATTTCTTTCTTGACCCAGTGGTGATTCAGTAGAGAGTTGTTCAGTTTCCATGAGTTTGTAGGCTTTCTGCTGTTGTTGAAATCCAGCTTTAATCCATGATGATCCGATAAGATATAGGGGGTTATTTCAATTTTTTTGCATCTGTTGAGACTTGCTTTGTGACCTAATATACAGTCAATTTTGGAGAAGGTTTCACGAGGTGCTGAGAAGAAGGTATATTCTTTTGTGTTTGGGTGAAATATTCTATAGATTTCTGTTAAGTTCATTTGATTCATAACATTTGTTAGTTCCATTATTTCCCTGTTTAGTTTCTGTCTGTCAGACCTGCCCATTGGTGAGAGTGGGGTGTTGAAGGCTCTCACGATTGATGTGTGGGGTTTGATATGTGATCTAAGCTTTAGTAATGTTTCTTTTACAGATGTGGGTGCCCTTGCATTTCGGCATAGATCTTCAGAATTGAGACATCATCCTGGTGGATTTTTTTCTTTAATGAGTATGAAATGTCCTTATTCATCTCTTTTGATTAATTTTAAATTTGAAGCCTATTTTGTTAGATATTAGGATAGATAGCTACACTAGGTTGTTTCTTAGGTTCATTTGATTGGAAAACCTTTTTCAAACCCTTTACTCTGAGGTAATGTCTGTCTTTGAAGTTGAGGTGTGTTTTTTGTATGCAGCAGGATGGACTGTTTTCATAGCCATTCTGTTAGCCTGTGTCTTTTTATTGTTGAATTGTGTCCATTGGTATTGAGAGATATTAATGACCAATGATTTTTAATTCCTGTCATTTTGTTGTTGTTGGAGTGGTGGTGGTGGTGGTAGAGTGTGTGTGTGTGTGTGTGTGTTTCCCTTCTTTGGGTTTTGCTGGTGTGAGATTATTTATTTCCTGTGCTTTTATGGGTGCAGTTAGCCTCCTTGGGTTTGACTTTTCCTTCTTGTTTCTTCCGTAGAGCTGGATTTATGGGTAGATATTGTTTAAGTTGGCCTTTTCATGAAATATCTTGTTTTCTCCATCTATGGTGATTGAAAATGTTGTTGAGTATGGTAGTCTGAGTTAACATCCATGGTCTCTTACAGTTTGCAAGGTATCTGTCCAGGACCTTGTATCTTTTAGCGTCTCCCTTGAGAAGTCAGGTGTAATTCTAACAAGTCTGCCTATATGTTACCTGGCCTTTTTCCTCAGTAAGTGCCCTTAACTGATGGAGCATCTCTCTGGTTTCATCATCTCCAGATCAAAATCATCACTGTGGCTTTGATTTGCTTTTCCCTGATGACTGATGAAATTGTGCTTGTTGACCTCATATGTATCTTCTTTGGAAAAAATGCCTCTGTTGCTCAGCACAATCCTACCATTAATTTATATATTCAGCCACCCTGACAATGTATTTTGATAAACAAAAAGGATATTTTTAGAGTTATTTATCTTAATTTATGTGCATGAGTGTTTGTTTGAATGCATGTACATTACCACGTGTGTACCTGGTGCCTGCAGAGGTCAGAAGAGGGCATCAAATCTTCTGAAGCTGGAGTTACAGGTGATTGTGAGCTGCCATGTGGGTGCTGGGAACCAATCCTGGGTCCTCTGCAAGAGCAACAAGTGCTCTTAACCACTGAGCCATTTTTCTAGTCCCAAAAGAGTTTTAAATTTTGATTAAATCCAATTTACTTATTTTTGTTGTCCATGGCCTTGACTTTGCTTCTAAAAGTCCATTGCCCACTCTGAAGTCAGAGGACTCCCCTTACAATTTCCAGTTTTAGCTCTTATCTAAGGCCAATGAAGGATTTTGAGGTGATTCTTGTATAAGGTGTGAGCTCAGGACCCAGGACACTGTTTTGCATATTGACATCCAGTCATCTAACACCATTCATTGGCAACACTATTTTTTCTCCACTGGAGGAAGACATCAAAGATAGTTTCTACATGAGGAAAGCTCCATGTATAACATGTCTCAGAGGCTAGAAGCTCCTGATAGGAAATCAATACAGTCCACAGATGACAAAACACAGAAAGAGTTCTGGCTATGAAATTATTTTTTCATGGGTTGTATCAGTCAGACTCAAATGAGTTGTCACAGTAATGTCACAACAATGGTGTGCCATGTGTTGCTGCAACAGTAGTGTCCACCATCCCAGATTTGATGTGGGGTTTCCTATGGTCACACTGTCATTGCTAATAGCAAGAAACAGCTGGGACAAATAGAACCCACTAGTCAGAAGTCAGGAAGACAGACAAACATGTCAGTAGATGACAGAATGTCACAGGTTAGGGCCTGTGGGTGTGGCTCAGGGTACAACTTTTTTTTTTCTGTATCATTGGTTTGTATTTGCAAAACATTTTAATACTGCAAACATTAGAAGTTTTACAATCAGGCATGGGAAAGGGTTTATACTCTACTACAGTGATGCTGGTGAACGTCTGCACAAGGTCTCTTAGTGACGTCAATCAGTTGGAGGTAGGAGTTTATCAATGAACTGCTTGACATCCATCATTTCCTGCTGACGTGAACTATACATCATGCCTTCATAGATTTTGAAGGTTACATTGGATGGATTTATCAGTGTTTTTAGTTTTTCAACAGTAAGAGAACCAAACATTAGGGGAACTAAAGGATCACAATCTCCATGGCACTGGAGAACAGAAATATCTCTATTAGTGCTATTGATAGGACCCTGTGGAAATGAAGCCCGAAGTGGAAGCCAGCAACTGAGCGCAGTGACGCCGGCCAGTTTCTGCTGCGTGGTAAGAGCAGTGTATAAAGATAAAGTGCCTCCCTGAGAAAATCCTCCCAAAATAATTCTGTTAGAGGGAATGCCATTCTTTACCTCTTGATCTATCAAAGCTTTTACATTTTCTGCGGCCTGTTTAATTCCAGATTCATCCTCCTGAGAATCTGGGGAAAGTCCAATGATATCAAACCAAGAAGGCATAGCCATATTCATATTTAATGTAACAGGCATAATGGGCGCATGTGGACAGATGTATTTGATGTGGGAACTTCTGATACCTGCAAAGGCTTCTGCCCATCCGTGCCCAGTATCTCCCAATCCATGAAGGAAAATAACCGCAGCGGTGGCCTTCTGGGCGGTGGGCACGACGGCGGGCAGCGGGGCAGACCTGTTGTTGCCGCACATCCACCCGGTGGCGGACAGCGCGTCGGAAGCGGAAGGGAGCGCAGGCGCCGGGCCGTAGAAGAGGGTACAACTTTTGTCTATTGTGTGTAAGGTCTTGAATTCCATCTCCAGCATAACACGCACGCACACGCGCGCGCGCGCGCGCGCACACACACACACACACACACACACACACACACACACACACCTGATGGTCAGAGTAGCTGTGATGGCTAATCTGCTTGTCAGCCTGACTGTATCTGAAATCAATTAAAACCCAAGCAGCTGGGCACATACATGAAGGGTTTTCTTGATTGGATCATTTGAGGCCAGAAGACCCACCCTAAATCTTGGCCATGCCTTCTGGTGGCAGCCCATGTACAAGCACATGGAAGAAGTTTGCCTTTTGTCTACTTGCCCTCACTCTCTCTGGCAAGTCCATCTGTCCTGATGTATTCATCAACATTCCTTTGCTGGTATTAGAACCATCAATCCAATTTACAACAGAACCACCTGTAGCCAGAAATTTCTCGGTACTGCCTGGCTCTGCAGTCCTGCAACCATTTATAAAATAATCACTCAGAGGCTTATATTAATTACCAACTGTATGGCCTATGGCTTCAGCTTCTTGATAGCTAGCTCTTTCGTCTTAAATTGACCATTCCTATTAATCTATATGCTGTCACATGGCTGTGGTGTGACCGGTCTGCTGGCATCTTGTTGCTCCTTTGATGGCAGCTGGCGTCTCCCCTGACTCTGCCCTTCTTCTCTCTGTATCTCTGCTTGGATTTCCTGCCTGCCTCTAAGCTGCTTTACCATAGGCCAAAGTAGCTTATTTATTAGCCAATGAAAGCAACATACATTCACAGTGTATAGAAAGACATCTCACAGCACTTGCTCTTTTCTGTCTAATCAAAAAGGAAGGTTTTAACTTTAACATAGTAAAGTTATATATAACAAAATAGCTATTAATCAAGAATTACAATTATAGTATTTAGCCTATTTGTATTTGGTAAAATTAAAGAAAATATTCTATCATCTATCCCATATTTGTGAGTCTAAAGTTTTATATCTAATTTTCCTTTTATTATAACTAAGGAAATCTATAATTATAACTATCTAGTCTTCAACTACATCAAAGACCTAGAAGGATATAATATTACCCAAGTAAACATGAACTGCATTGTAAGAAACTTCCAAAATTCTGGAAATGACAGGCATCTGACTGCCTGGACAGTCATCCACAGTTCCTCTGTAATGTTGGGGCATCCATCTTCAGCCTACAGGCCTAGAGTCTCTGGCAGACTTTTTATGAAGCAGGAAATTTGAAGGATTGTCTCACCTGTTGGCAAAGTTCAACAGTTGCTTCTCCCCATGTCCTGTAGAATGTCTGACCGTTTCTTCTGTGAAACAGGAACCTGAAGAACCATCTCGTCTTGCAAAGTTCAGTGGTCACCTTCCTATGGGTCCTGCATGTCCATGTTATACAGCATCATGTCAAGCAGTCGAGGCAAGGGCACTTTTTTGCCCAATGGCTATCTTTTGCCACAAAGAAAACAGACTCCACAATGGGTTTCTTCGTTGCCCATCATCCTCTTTGAAGTAATTGGTGCTGCCAGGAGCAGACGTGTCTCATTGTCCAGAAAAGTCTAAGTTATTAAAGCATTTTAAATGCCATATTCTGTAGCAGAATTATTAAAAGTTCTTATTAATAAAATCAAACCTGAGGCCTGTTATTGGGGTTTTTCTTTCTTTTTTCTTTTTTCTTTTTCTTTTTCTTTTTCTTTTTTTTAATAGCTGAAGGGACAGCCGTGGGTGCTGAGAACCAAACTCATATTTTTGGTTGTGAGAAAGAAAGAAAGAAAAGGAAAAAAGAGAATATAGATATGAGGTAGATCATCGAATCTACTCTGAGAAAAAAGATAAAGAAATAATAGGATAAATGGGTAGGTCACTGAATCTACACTAAAAAGAAAAAGAGGAATTGGCAAGGGGAGGAAGCTGTGGCTTGTTCTGCTTCTCTGATCTTCCAGCATTCACCCAAGACAGGCCTCAGGTTTGATTTTGTTAATAAAAACTTTTAAGAATTCTGCTACAATATTCTGTAGGTCTTTGAAGTGTTTGAGGATTACCTATTTGTCTGACATATATCTCTGCACACCTAACTAACATGACTCTAAGTTTATCATGGATGATTAATTATTAATCTGTATTTTTAATTATACATTACAATTTAAAATGAGTTGTGTTGCTAGAGTTTTCCTGCCTGGCCCACAGTCAGGACAAATCTCTCTCACCCGCCAGTCCCAAGCCGCTCAAACCCGATCAAGTAAACACCGAGACTTATATTGGTTACAAACTGTATGGCCGTGGCAGGCTTCTTGTTAACTGTTCTTACAGCTTAAATTAATCCATTTCTATTAATCTATACCTTGCCACGTGGCTTGTGGCTTACCGGTACTTTACATCTTCCTTGTCCTGATGGCGGCTGGCAGTGTCTCCCCCTCCAGCTTCCTGTTCTCTCAATTTTCCTCTGTTAGTCCCGCCTATACTTCCTGCCTGGCCACTGCCAATCAGTGATTTATTCATTGACCAATCAGCAACACATTTGACATACAGACCATCCCACAGCACCTCCCCTTTTCTTTTCTTAAAAAGGAAAGTTTTAACCTTTACACATCTCCAAAGTCAGCTTGGTGTATTTGGGAATTTGGGCGTAGCTTCTCTTACTATTTCCTGCTGGAGGGGGGCGCTGTTTCTTCTGGGGAAACAAAGAAAATTTTAGGATCATGGAGTAGTCCGTGAGGCTGTATCGTCTGAGCCAGTTGCCTTGAAACGGTTCTGGATGTTGGATCATCTGGGCCATGGTGTCATCGGAGACCTTTCAGGTGGTCTTGGCTGGTCAAACCTGATGTGTCTTAATCTGGAACAAATCCATAGCCTCTTGCTTTCTGTGGAAACAAAAGAGACTCTTTTCCAAAGCAACATATCCTTACATCCAAATTTTGAAGTCAAAGTATCTTTAAAATATACGTACTGGTTTAACTCAGCTTCCTTTACAATCAAACATCTCTCTGTAGTTAAGAATCCCAAAGACAACACAATCCAGACTCTCTGTGTAATAGTCATCTCTACGTGGCTTATTTTTTATATTAATTTTACTGTCTCTTTAAAGACTTTATTTTTTAAAACCATGTATTTGTTTATATAACTGTATATATCACCTTTTTTGTCTCTTTCAAGCCTATGTATATTTTACACACATTTTACATTATTACATCTGAATCTGTCTTATTGTAAACCTGTTGCTTTAAATTGCAGCCTTCTAAGCCTGAAACGGCACTGTGTCTGCTGGCTCCGCCCACTTTAGCTTTCCAACATGGCGGTTCCGCCAGCTCTGGGAACCATCAAGTCTCAGAAATAGTGGGTCTATGCTTTTATCAAAGCAGTGTGTAGCCCAGAAACCTCTTTTTTTTTGTTTTGTTTTGTTTTGTACTAGCAAAGGCTAAATTCATCACACAGCTTAATGTGCCACTTGTAGAGGCCTCATTCCCGCCATACTGTAGGTTGAGCGCGCACGCCAGCAACTCGCCAGTAGCTCAAACCGGCAGCTGCCGCTCATTTGAGAGAGACAATTAGGAAGCTGTTTTTAGCTCCGTTTTAGAATCTTTTTTCTCAGGTTTTAGGTGGAAACTCTTGCCCCACGTTGGGCGCCATTTGTTGCTAGAGTTTTCCTGCCTGGCCCACAGTCAGGGCAAATCTCTCTCACCCGCCAGTCCCAAGCCGCTCAAACCCGATCAAGTAAACACCGAGACTTATATTGGTTACAAACTGTATGGCCGTGGCAGGCTTCTTGTTAACTGTTCTTACAGCTTAAATTAATCCATTTCTATTAATCTATACCTTGCCACGTGGCTTGTGGCTTACCGGTACTTTACATCTTCCTTGTCCTGATGGCGGCTGGCAGTGTCTCCCCCTCCAGCTTCCTGTTCTCTCAATTTTCCTCTGTTAGTCCCGCCTATACTTCCTGCCTGGCCACTGCCAATCAGTGATTTATTCATTGACCAATCAGCAACACATTTGACATACAGACCATCCCACAGCAGAGTTGCATAAACATAATACCTTAAATAAGAGTAGAAATATATATACAGTATAACAAAATTATCTTTAAATTTGTATCAATAAACTAAAATCATAGCAATGTAAAATATTTCAAACGAGTTGTTGCTTTTTAAAAGTAGATTCAGCAATCTACCCTTTTATCCTATCACATCTATATCCTACATTTCTATATTAAGTACTGTTTTAAATTCTAGACCAGGGTTGTCAAATAAGATTTTCTACAATGTTGGAAGTGTTATCATGTTCAATGACATTTCAAGACGAGCACAGACCAAGGCAGTTCATGACCACAAAGCCAACACCCCAGGAGATACTTGAAAGATGCTGCATAAGGAGGAGGAAAGGAACAGTTACAAGAGCCCAGGGCAGATGTGTTCCATGAGAGGAACAGCAGGACAAAGGAGAGAGGAAGCAATCCTTCCTGCCCAACACAGCAAACCACAAACTCCATGCTAATGGGAGATAAAGTAAAGAACAAAGAAACAACCAGGACAACCATCAACAAAATTACAAGAATTAATAAACATCACTCAAGAATAATTTTAAAAGTAAATAACCTCAACACACCAATAAAGAGTCAGATACTTACCAATTGCCTTAAAAATTGTACCCAGCTCTCTGTTGGCGTTAAGAAACACATCTTGCTGGGCGGTGGTGGTTCATGCCTTTAATCCCAGCACTCAGGAGGCTGAGTCAGGCAGATCTCTCTGAGTTGGAGGCCAGCCTGGTCTACAGAGCAAGATCCAGGACAGGCACCAAAACTACACAGAGAAACCCTGTCTCAGAAAATCAAAAAAAAAAGAAGAAAAAGAAAAGAAAAGAAAAGAAAAAAAAACACATCTTCTTGGTAAAGATACCTATAGATGGAGAGTCAACAAATGGAAAAGAATCTAATAAGTGAATGGAAACTGAAAACAAGCTGGTATAGCTATTCTGACATCTGATAAATGA